TTACACCCACATATTCCCAATAACAATTATGGGAAATATATCTAAATAGTTTGGATTGCTATGAACATCTCAAATATATAAATCTGAGACACATTTCACTGCTCCAGTCACAGAAAGAATTTTTCTAAGATCTTTGAGTAACCTGCAAATAAGGGTGTTAAGTATTGGGTAACTGACTAATCAAATAGTCGACGCAGTTTTGCATCGACTATTTGATTAGTCGATAGGGTGCCTCTGCCTTTGACAAAGAGAAAAGCGCCGAAGCACGGGGACTCCCCAGCTGATCCCGGGCTCCACACCACATTGCCGCTTTGAAACGCTGTGAGGAGCCCAATGCTAGTAGAACCCCAGGCCACTTTGAAGTATCTCCCGTGGGGGGGGGGGGGGGGGGGATGCACAGGGAATCGACTAATCAACCACTGTCCAATAAGCAAATGCTTAATCGGATAGACTAGTCGACTAGTCCTTCACATCCCTATCTACAAACAGATTCTGTATCCTGGAATTCACATTTGCCCAGAAGGTACAGAGGTGGGTTGGGTTTGGGAATGGCCATGGGGATAGGGCATTCCTCTGGAGTGGGATAGGGCATTCACCTGGGGAGGGTGGGGTTGAGGGTCTTTGTCCCACCCCCCCAGATCCCACCCCAGAAGCAGCAGAACAGCCAACACAGGCTGCCCCTGGGCTGAAGCTGGCTCTAGCATTCGGAAAGCATCATCCAATCATGCAGCCCCTGACTACAAACCACTTTCCGTATTGGGTCACAATATCACAACTGGAATAATGAATTTCATGCAGCGCTTACTAGAAAAATGCATCAAATCCAAACAATTAGTAGATACTTCCAAAAAGGCAGGGCAAAAAGAGCCCAGGAAACCTTCCTTCTTTCACTGGCTTTGTTTTCATATCCGTTCAAACTGCAGAGGCAATGAGTCATAATTGATAATCACCCACTTGTCTGATCCTCTCCAAAAGAATGACCGTACCTCAGTGACAATGTTACTGTCAAGAGAACAGATAAAGGAAATGTCCGTGCTATTTTCTATTAATCATAAAATGCAGGTGTTAAAATGTGTGGTTGATTGAAACTGAACCATGAGGCCAGATTCTGCTCTCAGTACAGAAAGCTGTTTGAAGGGCTTCCTGTTAAGTAGTTTTAAAGATTAAAAAGCCTGGGCAACTTTTAAATAGGCACAGTCAAGGAACCAGGCCCAAATTCAGATTTGTAACAAATGAAGAAATCTGGTAAAAGTGTATCCTAAAATACATAAATAACTAGACCAAGCAGACAGATTTCTAAGATATTATCCAGATAATCCACCATAATTTCATTGACTTCAATGGAGTGGTATCAGATTTACAAAGACGTAACTGTGATCAGAATCTGGCCCAACATCTCAAGTTGGAAATAGTTCTATTCGCTTAAGTATATAAACAGGATATAGCAAGAGCTAGTCAATTCCCTGTATTTGCACACTGAAATAACAGGATTTATTCTGAACAATGCTTATTCTCACAGGTTCCATCATATAAGGCTCTAAGCTCTTTTCATTAGAGGATGAGCACCTTAAACTCCCCTCGGATGCAGAGGGAGGTAAAAGTGCACTGTGTCTTGCCGGATCTAGCCCGGGGGGGTTTCAAAGTTGCACCACAGGCCAACCCAGGTAAGCTGTTAGTGGGCTGGGAGACGTTTTGTTTATGTAAGTGCCCACAGGCACGGGCCCATTTGGCTGCGGTTCTGTTTCCAGCCAATGGGAGCTGCGAGGCCCCTTGCCTAGGCACGCTTAGGTAAACAAAGCGTCTCGTGGCCCACCAGCATCTTACCGGGCAAGTCCACGACTGGGCTTTGAAAACAACCCCTGGGCTAGTCATTGTGGTCTGCTGTGAAGGATAATTCTTTTAATGCACTGTGAAAATATGGTATATATTTTTAGCGAGTTTGCGCGGCTGAATGTCTGTGAGTCCATTTGTTCAAGAACGGCTCCTATACAGTAAGACCTAGGACCCACCAAATTTAGTAGGCAGCTTCCTTTCATCCTAACATGAAGCAAAGTCAGTGTTTGGTTGTGTCAGGACAATGGGATGTCCTGGAATTCAATTGTTTCTCACACAATGGAAAGGGCGGGGGATGGTAGGAGATGGACATGCACTCCTTCCCTGGCTGGCCCCACTGCAGCTGCAGTGCCCATGGAAAGGCGCTTCTCATCTGGCCCCAAGCTGCTGTGGTGAGAAGGGCTGGGGTTGTCCTCTGTCCCTGGGCCAGCCTGCATCCTGAGCCCCTCATCCCCAGCCCCGCCCCAGAGCAATGATTTAAATGAAGAAAAAAACGTATTTGAGTTAAGGACCCAAGCAACGCCAGGTCCTTAACTCAAATAAATCCATAATACAGTTTAAACAACTCAGTGCTTTGGAAAAAGATCATCATAATCATGTGTTAGTAACTGATATGGACACAGATGATAACTGATGTCTCTGTGTGCGATCTCATGTCTACAAGAGTGGGCCTCCATGTGATGAAAATGGATTACAAAAATAACCCTTATAAAAGATTCTGAGAATCAATTAGCTGATTCACCAGTAGATGGCACCTGTGCCCATCCACTGGCAAAACAAAGCTTAAGGGTTATCAACTTCAACTGACAGAAATAGAGTTATCTATATAAATGAGTTTACAATGAGAATCAACATGGATGCTCATCAGCCACATTTAGCAGAAGTCCTATTTTACAAACATCAGGGGCACCAGATTCTGCCAGTTTTAATCATGCTAAATATCATCTAACCATGCAGGCAAATATCAACATATCCTGGGTTATCAACAGACTTCATGCTAAGAATGTAGGTAGGGCCTACAGAATACAGGAGTTGAATGTGCTACATCACACAATGCTATAATGTTGCTTTGCTTAAATAAATAGGTAAAATAAAGTCTATTTTCCTGGAAACCAGAAGAACAGCATGCCCACAGCGTGACACAGGTTGCCCACATAAACCACTACAGGAAAGAAATCCATCACCTAAGTATCTCTGTTTCAGCTACAATATTCATTCGGATTTAGGGAAAAATCTTATGGGAGAGGTTAGTCTTTAGTGTCTGACGGATTATGTCTGTGCTCACTTTGGGTACGGCTACGCTGTGTTTTATTATTTGGAAGAGGCATGCATATAGCGCTCTCATTTGCATACCTTCTTTCATTTTTTCCCCAGAAGAGGCATTTCTACCATTTGGCCCGAGCTACACAGGGCCAAATGTCAGAGATAAACCCTCCTTCGAAAGCCCCCTTCTTCCTCATAAAATGAGGGAAAATGTAAAAGCGAGCCCTATTTGCATACCTCTTCCAAAAAATAAAACACAGTGTAGCCGTACTCTTTGGAAATAAGGCAAAACTGCAAGGGAAAGTACAGTCTTTACAAAGCCTCTTTTTTAAACAGAAAACCTACTTCAAAACTATAATCATTAGGTTTCATAACAATACAGTGGAAGAAGGAAGACAAGTTCCTGCATGTATATATAAATATATGTATGAGTAATCAGTTACCTTCTTTTAAGACATGTGGAACACTGAAATAAATCCATGCTCTGTTACTGCAGTCATTTGTGTGCAAAATACAAAGGATTTTCAACACTTGACCATTATAAAGTATTTTCGAAACACATTTAAATGTTAACGATCATGAAAATCAGACCCCTTCTACAAGGAGAAATCCAACAAAAAACAATCTAGATAAGGGCTGATATTCTAATGAGGAAAAAAATAAAACAGTATATTTACTTTAAGT